CTCTCCCACACTGCTGGTGGAAATGCAAACTGATCCAAACACTATGGAAAGCTGTGTGGAAGGCCCTCAGACTACTAAAAATGGAGCTATCATACGACCCAGCAATTCCACTCCTAGGGAATATCCCCAAAGGACATTAAAACATAAACTCAACAGGATACCTATAGCACTATTTATAATAGGTAAGACTTGGAAACAATCCAAATGCCCAAAAATAGATGACTGGATCAAGATGTGGAACATATACATAATGGACTACTACTCAGCCATCAAAAAAGATAAACTAATGCCATTTGCAGCAACACTGATAGAGCTAGAAGGGATTATGTTCAGTGAAATAAGTCAGAAGGAAAAAGTAAAATATTGGATGGTTTCACTTATAGGAGGAATTTCAGGGAACCAAATAAGGGATTGGGGCAAAAACAACAATAAAAAACACAACAAAACAAAAATAAACAGACAACTATAAATCAAGAGACATTCTGCAGGGAAAGGGGAGGAATTAAAACAAGGGCGGGAAGAGCATAAGGGACTATGGTGATGGTGCACGGGTGAATTGGTGGTGGGAATTCTATGAGGACATGAGAAAAGAAAGCAAACATTGTACAAAAATGAACAATGATGTAAAATATAAATAATTAAAAAAAACCCACTGAATTCTTTTAGACATATGAAAAATATATAGATATATAACTATATATATAATGCCTTATTTTTATGTAAGTCACTATTTTATTCTTTTTTAAATTTATTTTTATATTGTTGTTAAATTTTAGACAGTATTTCTTTCTTTCCTCACCTATGTAGTCCCCATAGTTTCACCACCATAGTACCTGTGATCCATCACTACAGTTCCTTGTGCTTTCCTCCCCTGTAAAATACTGAATTCTTATGCCACATCTCAGACTTTCAGAATGCATTTTAAGTAGGTTCCTTAGATAATTGTTACATACATGCCACTTAAATGTACCCTAAGATCTTAGGGAACCTAAATAGACTAGTGAGGAGGGTATTTCTAAATTTATGAACTTTACTGGAGGCCAACAAAATCTCTCAGAGATGTTCTTTTATCTATTCTTGCTTGGTCTCATCCTTGGACTATTCTGGATTTAGCTCATTTGGAATGTGGCCCCTCTTGTATAGGCTGTGAAGAGTAGGTATACAGAGAACATGCTTGCTTATGCGACAAATTTACCAAGTGCCACTTAAAATCTACCCTAACATCAAGAACACTTAACATACCCCAAGCAAAATTTATTTCACATCAGAGAAATTAAACATTTGAGTCTGAGCACTGATTTGAAATGTACTATGTGGCTTCTATCCATATATTCCAATGGTCAATTCTTATCAATTCTTTAAGTTATCTTTATCAACCTTTCCATTCCAGTTTTGTTAGTGACTAATTTTTTAAAGCAAAACATAGCCCCCCCCCCTTTTTTTGATGTTTCAGACTTTCTGTTTTATTTATTTTTAAATTATTGTGCCCTCTCTTACCTGCTAATTTTTTTAATAAATTTTATTTTTATATTCCCCATACAATTGCAATCCCTTATTTTGACCCCAATCCCTCCCCTCCCCGCCCCCTACCCCCCATAGAGTGTCTCTGGTTCATAGTTTTTGTTGATTTTGATTTTCACTTTCTTATAGTTATTCATTATTTAAGTTTTCTAGATTCCTGCTATGAGTGAGACCATCCAGTATTTTTCTTTTTCTTTCTGGCTTATTTCGCTGAGCATGATCCCTTCCAGCGCCATCCATGTTGCTGCAAATTGCATGTGTTTATCTTTTTTGAATGCTGAATAATATTCCATGGTATATATGTACCACATCTTCTTGATCCAGTCATCTATTTTTGGGCATTTGGGTTGTTTCCAAAGCTTAGCTATTGTAAACAGTGCTGCTATAAACATAGGGGTGCAGGTGTTCTTTGGAATTGATGTTTCTGTGTCCTTTGGGTAAATACCTAGGAGTGGAATTGCTGGATCATGTGGAAGCTCTATGTTTAGTAGGTCCAGAAATCTCCACACAGCTCTCCATAGTGGTTGGACCAGTTTGCACTCCCACCAACAGTGCAGGAGAGTTCCTTTTTCTCCACACCCTCGCCAACATTTGGTGTTGCTAGTTTTTTTAATATGTGCCATTCTCACTGGTGTAAGATGGTATCTCATGGTAGTTTTGATTTGCATTTCCCTGATTACAAGTGATGTTGAACATTTTTTCATATGCCTGTTGGCCATTTGCATTTCCTCTTCAGAGAAGTTTCTTTTTAGCTCTTCTGCCCATTTTTTGACTGGATTATTTTCTTTGTTGTTGTTGAGTCTCATCAGCTCTTTGCAGATTTTTGTGATCAGTCCTTTATCATTAGTGTTGTGTGCAAAAATGTTCTCCCAGTTGGTGGGGTTTCTCTTTGTTTTTGTTATTGTCTCTTTTGCTGTGCAGAAGCGCTTTAATTTGATGTAGTCCCAGCTGTTTATCTTTGCCTTCACTATCACTGCTTTGGGTGATGTGTCTGTAAAGATGTCTTTGATGTGCATATCACGTAGTGTTTCGCCTATATTTCCTTCTATGTATTTTATGGTTTCAGGTCTTATGTCTAGTTCTTTAATCCATTTTGAGTTGATTTTTGTGTATGGTGTGAGGTAGTGGTCAAGCTTCCTTCTTTTCCATGTAGCAATCCAGTTTTGCCAGCACCATTTATTGAACAAACTTTCTTTGCTCCAATGCAGTCTTTGCTCTTTTGTCAAAGATTAGTTGACCATAAATCTGTGGTTTTATTTCTGGATTTTCTATTCGATTCCATTGGACTGTGTGTCTGTTCTTGTTCCAATACCATGCAGTTTTGATGATTATGGCTTAAAACATAGCCCCTTTTAAATGAAGGAGACATTGACAGGAAAGCCCCAGAGCTTAACAATGCTGTAACATTAAAGCAGTGCATCTGATCAAAATAAGTGTTTGGTTCCTAAACCAAACAAAATCTATTTAAATTTCAGATTATAGAATTGTTAAATGCTATTATCTTCTAGTTCAATATGGTAAAGGGAATAATACATCAGTTTATCTTTTGAGATATCCAATGCGGCAAATAAGTTTTCTCTGAAATTCTTATTTCTGTGTCTTTTATTATACTAGCTTTATCTTTAATTTTGAGAATTACTTGTGGAAAAGAAAATAGTGAAAGTGTATCTTCCTTATCTTTGGCCCTCACTTCACCCATAAGGCAGGTTGCAAAATTAAAAACTGCAGCAAGAAAAGTCTCTGTAGTGTGAAGCAAATTTCCAAATTTCCTCCTCTAACCCTGGGATTCCTACTCCCCAACTCCTATCTGCAAAGGGGTATCTCTGTTATTTGTTCTTTCCCATTGTTATGAGAAGTCTGGGGTATTGGTGGGACATTCAACTGACTCTTAGTAGTAGGAAGCTAGAAATATGAACTGTAGGGTACCAGCAAACTGAAAAGGGAAAATGCTCTAACTTGAAATGAGATGACTGGGCCTCCCTGGTGGCACAAGGGGTTAAGATGTAACCTATGAAGCTATCCGCAGCCACTGCAGCATGAGTTTGATCCTCAGTCAGGGAGCAAACCACATGGTGAAGCAGACCTCTCCTGTCTTGCCCACTGCTCCCCTCAGCAGTGTATTTCAATCAGTCTGTCTGTTCTGTTCCCCACTCTGTCTCTGGTGAATCCTCTCATTCCCTCCCCCCTCTGATCTGTACCTCAGTTCTTATATGCATAAATAAATAAATATGCTTCCCTGTCCTATTTTCTCCATAATAAATTCAATATAACCCAGATGTCTCCTTAGAATTCCATACCATATATTCATTTCTAAGCACTATATATCTCTACCTGAAGGTGCCTGAGGTATCTCAAATGTGTAAATGGGACCTCTTAATTTTGCTCCCCAAATCTGTTTTTCTTCCCAATTTCTTTTTAGTAAGAAGCACCACTATACCCTCAATTGTTGAAGCATTCTTGCTTCCTTCCTTTCCTTTATCCTCTAGGATCATTACAAGGGCCTGTCATTTCTACTAGAACATAGGCTGAATCATTTTCTCTACTGCCACTGTTGTCATCCAAGTTTAAGCCATCATCATACGTACAATGACTACAATTTCCCAAATCTTGCTTCCATTACTGGTTCTACTAACCGAATTACCACACAGCAGTCAAAAGTAACTTTTTAAAATACAAATCAGAAACTACTGAACTTACCTGTTTTTATTTGAGTGCAAGAAATATTTTAAGTAATACCTTTGATACTCAAAACAACATTCATACACACGTTTCTGTGTGGACTTAAGTTTTCAATTCCTTGGTGTTTACCTATTTAACCATATGAGCTGAAAACTTATATCCACACAAAAACAGATGCTTATAGCAGTTTTACTATAACTGCACAAACTTGGAAAAAATCAAGATGTCCTTCAATAGGTGAGTAGATAAATTGTATATCCAGACAATGGATATTATTAAGCACTGAAAAGAAATGAATTAAGAAACTATAAAAAGACATGGAAGAAACTTAAATGCTTATCATCAGTGAAAAAAGCCACAAGCTACATGATTTCAACTGCATGACATTCTGGAAAAGGCAAAACCACTGAGACAGTTAAAAGGTCAGTAGTTGCCATGGATTACGGGAGAGAGAATGATGAATAAGCAAAGCCGAGGATTTTTAAATCAAACTACTCTGTACAATACAATGAATTATGTATTTGTCAAAATCCATAACACATATAATACCAAAAGTGAATCCCAATGTAAACTATGAACTTTGGATAATGATGAAACCACTGATGTAACAAATGAACAATTATGTTGCAGGAAATGATAGTGGGGTAGGTTATACATGTATAGGAGGTATACAGGAACTCTATACTTTCTCCTTAATTTTGCTGTAAACCAAAAACTACTCTAAAAATTAGATTCTTAATTTTTTTTAAAAAAGAAATAGCCACCAGACAATAAATAATGAATATAAAAAAATCACTTACTACTGTTTCTTTGGCAGGAGGAGGCTTGATCTGTTGACTGGGAATCAGAACAAATGTCAAGGTACCATGCATATCAGACTGTAACAAAAAGATTAGGTATTTAAAAGTCCATATTCAAGATGAAAATGCATACATTGTACAAAAATGAAAAATGATGTAAAAAATACATAAAATTTTTACAAAAGTCCATATTTATGAAGGTCACTCCATGATCTTATTATAGCTATGCCCTAACCTGGACAATTCTAGAACCTAATAGATTAAAAAAAAAATCAGTAAAGATGACTCTCCTTCACTAAGAAGCACAAATTCTGCTCTTCATGATGGCTTCATACATTAGAGATACCTAGGGATATGGCATTCTGCAATTCTGGTCCACTGGGGAAAGCCACTTAGCCACTTGTTCTTTTGTCTTCCTTTTACTGTAATTTTAGGAGGATTCCACAGTGAAGGATTGAAATATATCACAATGCTACAATTCTGGGTTATCTACTCTGACACACATCAATTTTAACACAGAATATTCTCAATTCCCAGATGCTTTGTCACCCATTCTTTTTTTTTTTTTTTTAAACTTCATAGTTGTACTGCCAGGTTCACAATTATTTTATAGTATATCACAGACTACCTCATTCAGCTATCTCCAACACAGACTGTAATCAAAGCTTCTCTTCTGACATACCAGGGAGCAGTGCTTAACCCAGAGACAGTAGCCAGTAACAAAAAGGCTAAAACAGATGACCACTGAAACTTTGATTCACCAATGACTGGACCAGGTAAAAACAGTGATGTGAGGATGTTTTCTAGGTTATTCTCAGACATCACCAGGTAAAGGAGATTCTACTATAATAATAAATGCTAGATAATTTAAGAATAAATTTGGTTTGTAGGTAGATACAGTGTTCATGAATTGTCCTCAAAAGTTGACTTCTATATGGGTTTCTACATATGACTGACTATATGTATTATAATAGTAATGTCTAAAAAAACTTTCTATGATGATGAAAATATTCTTGATATGGTAGCCATGAGCTACATATTGCTCTTGGGCAGCTCAAATAAAGCTAATATGAATGAGGAAATGCATTTTAAATTTTACTTAAGTTGAAATAATTAATACATGTAGTGGTTATTATAGTGCACAATGTCAACCTATACCACTATTACCTAATATTGTTAAGGAAAAAACAACCTATTGTAGACAATAAAAAGACAAAATGATCATAATGCCATGAGGGCATGGACTTTGTTTTATTTTGTGGCTAGCATATAGTAGTATTCAATAATTATGCTGAGGGCCTCCCTAGTGGCGCAGCGGGCTGAGCGCAGTGCTATGAAGCTGTTCGCAGCCTCTGCAGTGTGGGTTAGATTCCTGACAGGCCAGGGAGATACCCACATGGTGCAGCAGACCTCTCCTGTCTCACCCGCTGCTCCCCTCAGCAGTGTTTTCTGTTGTCTGTTCTGCAACCCGCTCTGTCTCTGGTGAATTCTCTTGCCCTCCCATGCTTCTGGCCTGTACCCCAGTTCTTGTATAAATAAATAAATTAAAAATAATAATAGTTTAAAAAAATATGCTGAATGAATTAATGATCTATTTTACTAGTGATTTCAGAGGCAAATAAAATAGACTGAATTGTAATAAAGTTCAAAATAAAGTATCAGTGGTACCCACCAAAAATAAAATTCTACTTATATTGTGGAAATAATTATGTCACGTGTAAATCAGACTAAAAATTGTCCAGTGTTCTTAACAGTTATTATTAAATGCTTTTGAGATATTTTATTCTGAAATCTAATAAAGAAAACAGCTTTTAAGAACCTATCAATTATTCTTCCACCACTGTCAACTTACCAACAAGTCAAAAACCTCATTGACATCTTTCCCCCGAATTTCAATGCCATTAATTTCCAGAACTTCATCGCCTTCATGTAACAGACCACTTTTCTCTGCAGCACCTCCTTTTACTATCCGACTAATGATGACAGAATCCATTTCATTGCGAACTGTGGCCCCCTAAAAAAGTTTAGTATCTAATTTTAAAATCAACATATAGTTTTTTTTAAACATTCCTTAACTTTTAGATTTTTAGTTTTTTAATTCAATACTAGCCTTCAGTTATCTTGAAAATAAATTTACTTACACAGCTAGGGTAATTATGATATTTAGATTTGAAAGCTGACTATTTTCCCCAAACATTTTCTGCTTCAGAAACATTGTATTCATTACCAATTCTAAAATCAAGTAGACTTTTGAAGCATACAAGAGCATACTTGATTAAAAACAATGTGACAACCTATAATCAAATTTGTTCTTTATATGCTGAATACTACTCAAATGGTTATGTTATAGTTAGGAATAATTAGTGAACATGACTTTTTTTTTTTTTCTTCAGTTCAACATATGACTGAGGGAAAAATACCAGTCTGTCTGATTAATCAAATGTCAATTATGATAGCTGCATTCAAGCCACATTAAATATATTACATCATTAATATTTATTATAAAAATTGGAAGCACAACTGAAATATATAAGCTCATAACCTGGAAATATGAAATATCCCCAGAACATAGCTTGAAAGCGCAGAATTTATATGAATTTTCTCTTCATGTGTAATTTAAAATTTTATCATTTCCTCAATGTTTATTTTTCTGGTAGGAAAGAAACCTAGTTACATAAACTGCCCATAAAAAGCAGTCCCTTGGCAAATTCCACATTTGCCAAGATGTAACTGAGACATCAGGATTAAAGAATTTTTCTATGAAAATAAAGAAAATTATGGCAATGACAGCAGACTAAGAGAAGAGATTTTTAAAAATTTGCATATACTAGCCTAAATTCATAATTTATTAAAGAACACATACTTCTAAGGATATATGAAGTATATAAGCAACTGTGTCTCAACAGATTTAACTGAATGAAAAGATTAAATTTCTAGACACTATTTTTTAAAAGCTAAGAGAATCACTAGCAGATTACTAGTCCTTTTTTGTGGTTCCTCAACAATTATTTAGCTATTTGATAAATTTATTCAGCTATTAGTTTATTTAGGTATTGGATAATACATAAAGCTATTATTTTTATTAAATCATGGGTGAGAGAAGATGAACAAATTTTTCTCAAATTAACCTTTAAAAGAAATGTAAACGGATTTTTGACCTATCTGTCAAACATAAGATCCATGTACAAAAAGAACCTCAGATCAGACATGTGGAACACTTACCAATGGAATATCTCGAGCCTTTTCTATACGAACTATTTTTACAGTTTCTCCTCCATACTGGCCAATGCTTTCATACACTCTCTCATCTGTAATGGGCTCTAGCTGCATTTCCTGCTCAGCAACCTTATCATGGGCCAGTAAAAGTGCCTGTTTAAAATAAACCCACAGCATTTAAAGAAACAGCATGATTTATTTCTGTAGAGAGATGTATTTTGGTCATGGACATAGTATTCTGGGCATCAAATCTTTAAAAGAAGCACTACACAATTAGTTATATATATATAATAAGCATTTAGATTTTATATATATATATATATATATATATAGCTTAATAATAACTAGAGATGTGGTAAGTTGAATCAGGTGTACTCTGGAATGGGTCATCAAAATCTAAAATGCTTATTAAACTTCATAAAAACAAAATAAATTTATAGGGTTAACACCATAAAAAAAACTATTGATAATATAAGCCCCCCAAAAGGAAGATTTTTTTTGTAAAGAATAAAACTGTTTCAAAAATAATGTGGCTAACTCTAAATATGAAGATAGGTAATTCAGCAATAATTGTTTTTCAGTGGAAGTTGTAAATAATCAAAATAGGTTAGATAATATTTGAGGTCTCTTCTAACCTTAAGAATCTTTGATTAAAAAAAAACAAAAAAAAAAAAACAAAAAAAAAAAACCAAGAAACTTTTCTTCCCTTGCTGCTGGAAGAGCATTCACCATCATGAATGCCACAGTAACTATCTGGGCCAGGAAGTTCATGACCACAGATTGTGTCAGTGGAAACAAATGGTCAATGCCATCCTTCACTCTGGGAAGGCAACAGTACTTAAGACAGAAATTTGGGGGAAACTAGCTAACATGTACAAGACCACCCTTGATGTCATCTCTGTATTTGGATACAGAACCCATTCTGGAGGTGGCAATACAACTGGCTTTGGCATGATTTACAACTCCTTGGATTATAAAAAGAAAAATGAACCCAAACACAGACTTGCAAGACAGTCTATATGAGAAGATCTCAAGAAAGCAGCAAAAGGAATACAAGGGCAGAATGAAGAAAGTCAGGGGGACTGCAAAGGTCAATACTGGTGCTGGCAAAAAAAGGAGAAGTAATGATTCTGCAGGAGTAAAAATTCTTTATCTGTGTCTATGGTGGTTGTACAGATTTTTGGGAGGATTAATAAAACCTTTTGTGTGTCTGGCAGGGAAAAAAAGGCAAATGCTGTAAAAAAGCACACACTTAATGCCCAGTCCATTTGCTACCTGAATATGTGGAGCATTCAGTAAAGCAGTTAATTCTTGACCTTCTTTCTGGTGGACTGGTTTCAAAACAGTTTGTACCTAAGAAACAGAAAGATTATTTTCCTTAGATTAGAGAAAATACCACCAGCATCTACACAGGTATTTTTATTAAGATGCAAATTAACATAATAAAAACTACTTGTAAGAAAGAAAATAAAAATAATTATAAGAAAAAGTCAAAATGCATTAGCATTTTTTATTTTTAAAAAAACACCAAAAAAACCTGATTCTTGAATCAACATACTATAAAATAGACTAATCATTAATTACATAAAAGAAGAAAAACCAGAGCCTCTCTGGTGGCGCAAGGGGTTAAGACGCAACCTGTGGGGCAATACGCAGCCACTGCAGCATGAGTTCAATCCCCGGCCAGGGAGCAACCCACAGGGCGCAGGGGACCTCTCCTGTCTCGCCCGCTGCTCCCCTTCAGCAGTGTGTTTCGGTCAGTCTGCCTGTTCCCCGCTCTGTCTCTGGTGAATTCTCTCACCCCCATACCTCTGGCCTGTACCCCAGTTCTTGTCTGCATAAATAAATCTTTTAAAAAAAAGGAAAACTGAATTGGAGATGACATCTTAAAGAGTCACAGACTAGGGCCTCCCCAGTGGTGCAGCGGGTTGAGCGCAGTGCTGTGGAGCTGTCCGCAGCCTCTGTAGCGCAGGTTTGATTCCCAGGTGGCCAGAGAGATACCCTAACCCTAACACTGCAGAACCACACAAGGTGGTCCTGACTAAGTTCATCATCTTGCATTCCCTTTATGACCAGTCTTAGCTCAAAGTCACTACCACTCACTCACATACCACCACTACCAAAGCAATACAATTTTTAAGTATTACTGAAGATACTGTCAGGCTGTGGAAGCAAATTTTCAGAAAATTTCCTTGATATGGTATTTTAAAAATTGCGAACTCTGTGAATATGTTAACTATCTTAAACCTAATATTTGAAACTAATTTTTTAAAGTCCTGCTCAATCATTTGTCTCTCCCAAATTCTCTCTTACATGCACTCTTTAAGCCACTTCTAGTTCTTTGATTCTCTCAACTCTACACAGGAAAATTTCCTATCTAGGAGCAGGTCCTAAGGTGATACTCTCATAGATCCTGGGCAACACTAGACTTTTCAGCCACTCTTGCACATAGGATCTTTGCTCATCTCAGGCTTTTAAATGCAGAAAGTACTCCCTTTGGGACCATTCTATGTTAATCTGAAAAGTGCCCTCGAAACTATTTTAGGTCTGAGGCTCTCGAAGTCCTACCTTTCCCCTAGCCCATTTTCTGTCTTATGTCTGAGTTCACTGAAACAGATTTACTTTATGGACTTCTAGAATTATTTTTATAATCTCAAAATAATTTAAAATCATTTAATGACAGAATGTCCAACTCCCAAAGTAGGAGATGGATTATTTATATCTTTTTAAGACCTTCAATTTAAAAGATGTTTTCAGGACACAGCAAATGTTGAATATCAAGAGGCAGCAGAAAAAAAGCATTTAAAACTCAGCATGTTAACAAGAAAAACTCACTGTATATGAAGTTTAATTATTTTGGACCTTCTATACAGTTTTTACAGATCAAAAACTTCACAATACCTACAGGTAACAAATCTTTATGATACCTGATTATCAAATGTAATTTTATTTCATCACCTTTCATTTATCTCAGTTTATAACGATAATGATTAAAATAAAACTATAACTTCCTAAACATTGAAAAGCTTTCCTCTATAGTAATTTAGATAAATATTTCCCTTACTCTGCAAATGTACAATTACACACACACACACACACACACACACATACACACATGCTCACACTCTTATAAAACTCTCTTCATCAAATAGAGTACTTCTTACTCTGAATTTAGTATATGATTTTACAGGATAAAAATTATATAGCCAATTTTTCCCATCATGATAAATTAACATGGAATCATTAAGAATTAACTCAAACAAGCTTTTTATTCACATTAGTATTTTCCAATAATATTGCCTTACTATACCTTAAATATGTTAACGAGATGTTCAGAATACATACCTCTTGTGCAAGATCTTGCGCACTGCAGATAAGAGGAAATGGAGGACTGGCCTTGTTCATGTGTACTGTGACAGCGTTGTGTATCTTAAATGCATTCTGGAAATCTTTATTTTGTACAAGTTGTAAGAGCAGTGAAATATCCTCCTGGCTCTGAGAATCGACCAAAGTATGCTGAATATGTTTAAGTGAAGAAAACAAGTCTTCCACTTCTAGTACGAAAAGGGAAAGGTATCCAAATATTGTTTCTGTTATAATTCAAGATAAGCTTCAAGATAAAATTTCTTTAAATAACAATTTAAGTTTAAAAAAAATCCCAAAACTTGCATATATTTTTGAGTGTCAAGTCACTGTCATTTCATTGATTTTTAAAACTTTAAAAATTATGCAATGGGATATCTTGCATTCTTTCCATAGTGTTTTCATTATAATGCATTATAAATATGAATTAGGTAATACAGAAGTGAATAAAGAAATTTAAAATCATCATAGTCCCATCCACTAGAAACAACTTTAAAACATCTTACAACTATTTCCTTTTTTTCACTTAACAATACATTTTAATTACTTGTATACATCACAGTCTTCAGAAAGAGCTTCATGATGTGCTAATACATGATTGAATCATAATTTATAACCATTACAGTAAAGTTGAGCATTCCAGTTGCTTCCAATTTTTACTATTATAAGTAATAAATATTTCAGTACCTAATAATCATTGCTGCATAAAAATTTGTCTGAGATTCTGGTGTTTTCTTATAATTCCTAGAAGTAGAATTTTAAAATGAGACTGACATTTTAAAATAGCTTTTCAAGGATGTTTCATTAATTCAGACTCCATTATAGCAATATTTACCATGACCATTTAAAAAAATTCTTAATCTTTTAAATAGGGAGTCTGAAGCGTATTTGTATTTACCAGGTACTTCTTTTGTGGTCCTTAAGCCTTTTATGAATCGTAGTCTCCTAAAATTCTTCTTAAAGTTCTGGATATGTGTTACCTGTATACATGCCTGTTAGTGTACAAATACACCTTATGAATTTCTCTCTGGGACAGTATTATCCCCAAAATGATTAAGAACCACAGATGTCTCTTCCCTAACAGATAAGATGTGTACATGTGTGTTACACTTTGTCATATTTGTTGGAAACAGTTTCCTAATTTTTCCAATTTTCTGTTCACTGTATTTCTGGTAGCTTTTATGGTATAGGTGTTTTTTTTTGTTTTGTTTTGTTTTTTGTGGGGCCCTCACCAGCGGCTGGGGAACGATCCGATCCGAGGCTGCAGGCAGCCTTGCAGCCCAGCGCTTAACCACTGGGCCACCAGGGGAGGCCCCCTATGGTATAGGTTTTTAATTCTTTTGTATTACGAATGATCCACCTTTTCCTGTGTGGGTTCTGGCACTATTTCTAAGCTTATAAACTACTACTCCTAAGTCATTAAATATTTACCTATCTTTCTCCTAGCTTTCTATGGCTTCTACTTCATTATAAATTTTAGTCCAATTGGAGCTTATTTTGATACAGATTTGAGGGAATATTTTAACTTCTCTTTCTTCCACTCTGGCATAATTTATAACCCTTCCTTTTTTCCACCCATTTATTAATACCACCAAATTCCTGCATATATCAGTGTCTATTCTTAATCCAATGGTCTATCAGAACCACAATGTCTTATTATAGCAGCAGTCTTTGCTCATATTGATAAGTTCTTGCTCATTACTTTTTCAAAAATGCCTTGATATTCAAATTAGTTATAGGATCATTTTTCTCAATATATCTTCCACTCTCCCATTCCTTCAAAAAGAAAAATCCTATTGAGATATTTACTGCAATTAAGCCACTAAATGAGTCTGAGAAAAACTTATAATGAGTATTATCTGTCTTACATAGTCACATGGAAAAAAAAGTTAAATCTTTGTTAATTTTTTTATAAGTCCCATAGAAAAGATATTGATTCTTTTACATTAATCTTATGTGTTATTTTTAAAAGATTTATTTATGTATACAAGAGCTGGGGTACAGGCCAGAGGTGTGAGGGTTGAGAAGATTCACCAGAGACAGTGTGGGGAACAGAACAGGCAGACTGACTGAAATACACTGCCGAGGGATGCAGCGGGCGAGTCAGGAGAGGTCTTCTGTGCCATGTGGGTTGCTCCCTGGCCAGCCGGGGATGGAACTCCTGCTGCAGAGGCTGTGGACAGCTTCATAGGTTGCACCTTAACCCCCTGCACCACCAGGGAGGCCCTACATTTTTCTTGTATCCCACTACTTAAATATTTTAAAGATTCAAATAGTTCAAGTGATTCCTGAGGTTTCTTACCTTTATCCTTCAAAATCAAAAGAGTATTAGTTCACCTTATAAAACATATGTGTGTGTGATGCTGCTCATGAATAATTTAAGATGGAGCAAAAAATTGGAAAAAAGTCACAAAGTCAAAACTGTCATTAGAACGACATAAGTTGTGACCCAGAGCTATATAAAACTTGAGATAGTATTTAACTATAAGCTAATATGATAGAAAGAATATGGATGGGGGTAAGAGGGAATGCTTGTCAAAGAGTATAAATTTTTAGTTTTAAATAAGTTCTGAGGGGGCTTATGTACAGCATGGATACTATAGTCAGTATGTATTGCATATCTGAAATTTACTAAAAGAGCAGACCACTCTCACCAGACATATAATAAAGGCAACTATGTGAGATGCTGGATGTGTTAATTACTTTTATTATGTAAACTATTTCATAGGGTATATATCACATCACCATGTTGTATACTTTAGATATATATACACAATTTGTCACTTATACTTCAATAAAAAATAAAGCTGGGGGGAAAAAAAGACTATGGAATGTCAAATTCCATCAAATACAAAGGTTACCACAAATTTACCTAAGTGTGTAAAGAATTCCCGAAGACGGGCCTCCCCGGTGGCGCAGCGGTTGAGCGCTGGGCTGTGAAGCTGCCCGCAGCCTCTGCGGCACCGGTTGGATCCCTGGCTGCCGAACGAGGGTCCCACATGGCGCACAGACCTCTCCTGCCGCCCGCTGCTCCCCTCAGCAGTGTACTTCGTCACTCTGCCTGTTCTGCTCCCCGCTCTGGCTCTGGTGAATTCTCTCACCCTCCCACGCTTCTGACTGTACCCAGTGCTTGTCTAAATAAATAAATAAATAAATAAATCTTTAAAAAAAAAAAAAAAGAATTCCCGAAGAGTATAAAGAATTAAATTGCTTTAAGCTATGTTTAGAGCAAAACAGGAAAATACCTTGAATACTTTGAAAGGAAAAATAATTACCAAACCAATAGAGCAGTTAAGACTACAATCTTAAGGGAATGATAGACTTCCATGAATAGATAATGAGATGCATGTTTAATTTTAGTAATTGTTTAAAGGGGTTGAGTCTGGCTGTCAGGACAATGAGAAAAACCAGTAGTTGCCGATCTCCCCACTGACTAAAATCAATAAGCAACGTTAGTCATCACAGAAGGTAACTATCTCCCTATTTCATTTCCTTCAATGCCAGGGAGATTTAAATTTTTAAAGGCTAAGGAATTTCTGCATATCTCTCCTCTGTACCAAACCTACCCACAAAGACACAAAAATACTAACATTATTAAAAAAAATTATCTGTAACCTTTTATCTTTCAGTTATAATTGCTGGTATAATTTAATTATACTGTAAATATAGCCTTGCAGACCAAAAAAACAAGCTTTATCATTTAACCACATGATCACATTGTAAATGTTGTTTTGCAGTCTGATGTTTTCCATTTCTTTAGAATTCCTAGAACTGATTAGATAACAAAAACATTTAAAATGTTGACACATAATGTCAAATGTGCTGCAGATTTGTACTAACTGATATTCCTACCACTAATAAACATGAGTGTCTCTTTCTATAAACACAGACCAAATGAAAGAGTATCAATCTTTTAAAATTTGGTGATCCAGTTAAAAAAAATGTTTCTTTTCCTAGTAGTGAGGTTGAATATATTTTCATAAGGTTAAAGATATTTGTGAGAATTTTCTACCTCAAACACTATCAAAATCTCTTATGTACATATATACATATATATGTTGACTATTATGTACCCTTTGGTTTAGACCTCTGACTTAAAAGGCTTTATTAATATCAGCTACTGTAATATTTTAAGATTGATATAGTTGGGCCTAACTATGTTAGTCAAACCTACTTTCTTCTATACTAAATAACCTTGATTACTATATCAAACTTCTATATCTGCTTTTTATAGTTATTAAGTTTCCTCCTTGGCAACTATTTCCTTTTATTGCCTTCTTGCTTCTGTGGCAAACACAGAATATAATATTCATATTCAGAATATTTTAAGTACAAATACTGTAGTCATAAGCCAGCAAGAAAAACTAGAGAAAGGATGTAGGGTAATCTAAACAATGAATGGCTTGATGAGAGCTATAACTTGAAATCAATAACCATATTCAGTATATGTGCTGCCGAAGCAAACACACCATATTCAGATTAGTTAACAGTTGAGACTGATCAGACTGGAAAAAATAGTTTGAAAGTTCTAAAATCTAAGTACGTTTCTCATGTTGCTAGGAACTGAGGTAAGGAACACAGTTTCTAGAGAAAGACAAAATCTGTTCAATTAATTTATATTGTAGCTCATACTGAGGAGTTATAAAGTCACAAAGAACTAGGACAGTTTACCTTTTCTGTCATACTGGGGGAATAAAAAATTAAACTTATTACTCCTACTCCCACCCCCAAAATTCTAGGTCTTGATTGTGATATGGTCATTCATCTGTTTTTGGAAAAGTTGTCCTGATATGTCTTTTCACCCAAAACAGTAGCATGTAATGTAAACTAACTAGATTTAAAGGAGCATACACATTCTAGCTATATTTTAAGTATAAATACTGTAGTCATGGCCAACAGAAAAACTAGGCTTTATTAATATCAGTTATTGTATTTTAAGATTCATATATTATACATATCTGTAAGAATTTCTTCTAATTAGGTATCTGTAATCTGCTCATACATATAATGCAGATAATATATGTGTTTTCAACATCCTCCAAATGCTACTTTCATTATTGTTTATATATAATTGCTGCATTTTATTTCTGCTATTTTAACCAAGGGTCTTATGCTTGAAATATTTTCTCAGAGCATTTATATTCATCTCTAACATAGCACTAGTATGCTAGGTAGTACAAGTTCAGAAAAA